AATAATGTTATCAATAATAATAATAATATCAGTAGTAATATTAATAATACCATTAATATTAGTAATAATACCAGCAAAATTAATAGTAGCGTCTGATTGTTTCTATTGATAACTATGATTTTAGTTTTTATGAGCAGTGGGGAACTGTAAATGGAAATAGTAGCAAACAAAAGAATTGAAGAATTTCTTTTTTTTTTTTTGAAAGTTTTATCTGGTCAAAATAACTGAGATTTTGAGTAATTATTCTTTACAACAGCAACAGAAGTAAAAAACTGCTGCAGACAGTGTTAAAAATTTTATCAGTGGTTTATGTTGGAAAGACAAATAAATTTTGAATTTTTGTAGAGAAAAAAGAAATAAAAAAGAGGTGTCCAATGAACACAGAAAATTATTGCTGTTAGCTTCTCGAACTTTTTTTATAGTTTGTGTAAAGAAGAAAAAATTATAGTTTTGTTTAATTTTCACTAATTTATTTGTTGCTATATCAAGAAAAAAAGAAAAAAAAGTTATGGATGGAAAAGTAAAAATGGAAGCAATAAACCATTTTTATTTTCACGATTTTTTTTTTTTTTGTTTTTGGGTTCTTTTTTTTTTAGCAAGACTATTTTCTTTTGTTTTAGGGATTGCTTTTGCAAGTCACAAAAACATTTTTTTTTTTTGCTGCTGGACCATATTTAATTTTGTGTTAAAGAGAAATACCAAAGAAGGAAGTAATCATATGTTAAAAATAATTGTAGTAAAAGAAAAAAAAAAAGTTCCATTTTCTTCTTTTTAATTAGGCTAGATATCATTAATTCCACTGTCTTTATTCAGTTTTGCAAAATGAAAATGCAAATGGGAAGGAGGGGGAGGACACAAAAAAAAAAAGAAAAAAAAAAGGAAAAGAAGAAAAAAAAGGGAATTTTTTTTTTGCAAAGTTTTAATCGTATAACTAACTTCTTCAGCTTTTTCTTTTTCTACTAATCAAATTGGATTTACAAAGCGTTATTTTGTGTATGGAAAAAAGAGCAAAAATAGGCGCTGTACAATAAGTGCTTTCCACCCGCCCACTCCTCTAATCATTGTATTATTCCACCAATCAGCAGTCGTGAATTCACTTATGCGTTGCGCGTTATAAACCTTCCATTAATTTGGTAAAGTGTTTTTTTTTTTTTCTTTGTTGTCTTATGATTACTTTTTATTTATTTTGTTTATCTTTTAATGGTGTATATTTGGATGATTAAAGTTCTGCAGTAATAATTCAAAGACTTTTTTCATTTTTTTTTTTGCTCATTGAACTTTTTTTTCTCTTTACACTGTTACACTATGTCTGTTTTTGGTTTGTTTATGTTTTGTTGATTTTATTTATAGGTTTGGAAATCAGAAAAAAAAAAAAAAAAAAAAAAAAAAAAAAAAA